AAGTAGGTAGACTAGGTGAAAAGGAAAGACATCTTGGTGGATGTTATGGTGTAGCGACTGAGAGAACAGACAATGGTGACCGTCTGTTGCAACTGTGCTCAGATAACCGCCTATTCTTAGCGAACACCAACTTTAGGCATAAGGAAAAGCATCTGTTGACCTGGCGACCTCCAAAGTCGTCTCAACGTTGGACTCAACTAGATCACATCGCCATCAGCCACCGATGGAGGGGTTCGATAGAAGACTGTCGCTCGTTCTGGAGCACATGTTCGGATTCAGATCATGCTCTAGTGCGAGCTCGTATCTGTTTAAGGCTTACTGGACGTAGGAAAGACACCGTAAGAAAGCCTCTTAGGGTTTTACTTAATGGTAATCAAACCAAGAAAATATTTCAGGAGCAACTAGAAAGAGAGTTAAGCAACCATGCAAGCGATTCCCATCCAGAAGCAGGTTGGTATGATATCAAAAAGGCTGTGGAAACAGCAGTGATATCTGCTAGGAAGGTAAACCATGAGGCTAGGATGAAGCCGTGGATTTCAGTCGCATCCACCCAACTGATGGATGCTCGAAAACGCATCCCACCTGGCTCTGAACATGATGAAGAGCGAAGTCAGCTTAGGCGCAGACTTATAAAAAGTCTGCGTAACGACCGCGAACAGTGGTGGGTGGCGAAAGCAAAAGCGATGGAAAAGGCAGCGGCGATAGGCAACACTAGACAACTTTTCCGCCTTATCAAAGAAACCGGTATTAAGAACCCGAATGTGAGTGAGACTATCTCGGAAAAGGATGGTCTTATTATCCATTCTCAATCCAGGAGGCTGGATCGATGGGCAGAACACTTTAGGGATCAGTTCAACTGGCCACGAGCCACTCTTCAGTTACCCACGATCTCCAGTCATCCTGAATGGCAAATCGACGTAAGTCCCCCTAGTCTTTATGACGTTGAGAAAGCGTTAGGAAATCTGAAACGAGGACGAGCTGCAGGTCCTGATAGACTGACCCCTGAGATATTCAGGGATGGTGGTCCAGTTTTAGCAGCTAGGTTGACTGAGATCTTAGGTAGAATCTGGGAACTGGGCGTAATCCCATCCGACTGGTCTCAATCCTTGATTGTCCCAATCTATAAGAAAGGACAAAAGTCTTCTTGTGACAATCACAGAGGAATAAGTCTAACTAATATAGTATCTAAAATATTGGCCTCAATAATACTTCGACGCTTAACGAAAGCTCGTGAAGAGCAGACTCGAGAAAACCAGGCTGGTTTTCGACCTGGACGTGGCTGTATAGATCACGTCTTCACACTCAGACAGGTCCTGGAACATAGACACACATTTAGGCGTCCTACAATAGTTGTTTTCCTAGACCTTAAGGCGGCATTTGACTCTGTTGATCGTGAGGTTCTGTGGCAGTGTCTGTCATTGAAAGGTGTACCACAGAAGTACATTAACCTTATACAAGCTCTCTACGCGAACACCACTGGTCGGGTGAGGGCTTATGGCGAACTGTCACCGGAATTCTCTACATCAAGTGGTGTCCGTCAGGGATGTCCACTTTCTCCATTCTTGTGTAATTTTATCATAGACATGCTCCTAGACATAACATTATCCTCGTCTGAATTTTCAGGAGTAGACCTTCTTCCAGGTGGCTCGCTTATTGACTTAGAATATGCCGATGACATTGTCCTACTTGGTGAAGACGCTGACAAAATGCAGAGTCTTCTGACTACCCTAAGCAACAATGCAAGCATGTTCGGGATGCGGTTTTCCCCCTCGAAATGCAAAATGTTGCTTCAAGACTGGGTTGCATCGGCACCTGAACTAGTGATAGGGAGTGAAGTGGTTGAACGTGTAGACCGCTTCACTTATCTTGGGAGTCTCATCAGTGCCGATGGCTTGGTGACTGACGAAATCTCAGCTCGGATACAGAAGGCTCGATTGGCTTTTGCCAACCTGCGTCACTTATGGCGTAGGCGAGATATCCGTTTGCTGACTAAAGGACGAGTGTACTGCGCAGTAGTTCGCTCCGTCTCACTTTATGGCTGTGAAACATGGCCAGTGAGAGTAGAAGATATTCGTAGGTTAATGGTTTTCGATCATAGGTGTCTTCGAAGCATTGCTCGTATATCGTGGGACACCCGAGTGAGCAACGCTGTTATTAGGAATCGGGTGCTAGGTAAGAATGGCAGATCAATCGATGAAGTATTGAAACTTCACCAGTTGAGGTGGTTGGGACATGTGTTGCGTATGCCCAACCACCGACTGCAACGTCGAGCTTAGTTTTGTAGTGTAGGAATAGGTTGGAAAAAAGTTAGGGGTGGCCAAACCATAATATGGTAGAAATCCATCAAGTCATTGACTAGTGGACTTAGCCATGTCGGTAGTTGTCGACTACCTGGTTGGGGTCTGCGAGATGATAATAATCGATGGCTAGAGACCTTGAATGACATGGCTCAAAACCGTTTGCAGTTGCGCCGATGCATTTATTGTTTGTGTTCTCTCAAATCCTAATCTTCTGGATTCGTCAACACCTCTAGTTTCGACTCTCTAAACTTTTCTCACTGAATCATACTTCTTGAGTAGTATCTTCTAATCCTAACCTCTTCGATTATTTCTAATTCCCTTACTACCTCTTCTACTATTGGATTTGAATTGACGATTACTTCTCTGTTCTGATGTGGTATGGCAACATGAACTGATGTACTTATGTACAAAGTTCTACGTTGCATCTGACTGACTGTTACGGCTGAGAATGGAAAGAGTCCATGCTCTCTCTCGAGATGTGCTCATTGTCAGGCAAGTCTTACTCACTGCTTTTTCGTGGCGTAGGGTGTTGTTTACGAACTTGAGAGGATGAAAAATAAGTGTCTAGTGGAGGCTTAAACCGGATTAATGAGTATCCACTTTGTGGGGAGTTGGAAAACCTTGATTCCAAACACATGGTGTATATGGGCTTCATGATCCTGACGCGGAACACATGGAGCATGAAGAACCTAATATTGATCACTCGTTTCCATGGTTATGCATCTTATGGAGATTGGTCTGCTAAATTAAGTACTCTGGGTAAAGCCCTCTGAAAGAGATCCGCCTATTTTAGTTTTGGGTAACTGGGCAATACCTTGGTCTACTCAAAAATTCAGTGATTTTAGGTGCTTTTTTGTAGAGTGTAGTCAATAACTACCTAAGAGAATGGGTGAGTTTATGCAAAACCTTAAATTGGTGAAAAGCTAGACAATAACACCTCTGAATACCGGCTCACTGGTCTAGAGGTTAAGCGTTTGTGCGCGATACCGAAAATCAAGCGTTCGATTCCTTGTGATTCGAGGGGGTCGTAGGTGTACACTCCCACTGATGAGTCCCACACTAGGACGAAACAGCTGTTCAGCGTTTCTAGGTTTCTAATGATGGTCTAACGGTAATTGTGTCACGAGTTAAGTATAAAACAATAATTTTTTTGTTAAAATGAACAAGAAAATAAAACCTTACTCATTTACTTATACCCTCAATGGATCATAGACCGCTGACCAGTATTCTCCAACCTACTCTGTCCCGAGCCTTTCTTTCTATTTCTGTACAATTGTTGTTCAGTCTTCTCATATCTATCTCCATTTCTCGGCGTCATGTGTTCCTTGGCCTAGCAGATTCCAAATGAGGGCTTGTCTTCTGACTCAGTTGAGTGCTTCCTGTGATGTATGTCCTATCTGTTTCCAGCTTCTTTTCTTAATTGCTTCCTCACCTATAATCTGGTTTGTTCTTTCTCACGGCAGGTTGTTGCTGATGGTGTCTGGCCGACAGATCCTCAGTATTTTGTATATGATGGCTTTCGTGGTACTTCAAGTTTCCACCTCGTACGGTAGAACATTAACGACATTTGTATTGAAAATTGTCACATTAGTGTTAGTCGATAGTTGTTTTGAGTTCGATCCTTTCTTCAGTCACAGAAACGCTGTCCTTGTTTTACCGATCGACACCTTCACATCTGCATTAAATCCACTTTGCTCATCAATGATGCTACACAGTCATGCAAATGTCTCTACCTATTCCAACTTATCGTCATCCAGTGTGATTTCGTCAGTGCATGTTGTGTTGTATCGGTTGATTTTGCTTTTCACTTCAGTGTATGATGAGATCTACTGCCGCGCTTAGGCTGCTGTTACACCCTGGTCATCTTCACCTGCATTTGTTGTTACGTGTGCGATAGAAGATGTGTAGTAGTAGCAGTAGTGTAGTAAAGTGAAGGAGAACACAGGTGAGGGCAATCGAATTGTATTTATCTCAAATTACAGAGTTAATTGATAAAATAGAAAAACCATATCCTTAATCATTAATTTGCAAAATATCAATCCATCATATCGAACTGGACTGTTCCTGTTGCAAAACATCAATCCATTGTCACTATTCATGCGTTTCATACAAATTGCATTGTGTTCCCGCTTTTCCTTTCTTGATCTTCCCCCATCTTCTGCTTCCAGACATTACGTTTACACTCACGTCATATACTACTTATTAGTAGCGCGCACCACGATAGTAGTAGTAGTAGTAGTGAGAAGACTGAGGCAGGTGCAAATTTACACTCTTAGTCAATGAAAAACGAAAACATTACATTGAACACCACTCTATTTGCACACCATCTTTGAGTCGTGACTTCCAACACTCCATCCTTCTTCCATCCCTGCTATTGCTTCTTTTCCTGCTTCCTGTTGGTACTCCATTTACTTCTTCTTGCTTTTGCTCCATCTGCTTTCCGTGAGACTTCTTCTTTCACGTCCCCCTTCTTATACTACTTATATCGTTCATATAAGTAGCACACACCACAGTAGTAGTAGTAGTAGTAGTAGTCACCAATGAAATAAAATATTTGACTAAAACACGCCTAAACTATAATATACCGAAAAAAATGTTTATCACACATTTATTTGTTAATCTCTCTCATAACTACTTGTCAATGTATCATTTTTTCTTTGTGGTGTTTTTTCCTCCGTTTAATTTATATTGAAATGACAGATTTATACAAAATGAATAATTCAAATCAACGCTTTTTACCGCATCAAAATTTATGTCAATATCAACAACAACCTAACCACCACCACCACCAACACCAACATCAACAACATCATTCCTTTACACAGGATCATTTATTAACGTTATCAAGTAATAACACTACTACTACTACTACTACTACTACTAGTACTAGTACTACTAATACAACTACTCTACCATTGAATATTTTGAATTCAATAAATATGCATAATACAGTAACAGCAACCACCACCAACACCACCACGACAACAACAACTACTACTACTTTGGATAATCGGATGATTGGTGGTAGTGTACGTGCGTCAACCACGACACGGACACCAACGCCGACACCAGATACCCACCACCTACCGTCCAATCTTCGTCCATCTTCGTTGATTGACTACAAACTAGGTCAATCCAATGCATCATCATTATTCAATGATCATGAAAGAATTAATGAAGAACTAATGTTTACCGATGATCATCGTCATCATCATCAACAACAACAACACGTGACAGAATGTTCAATTAGTAGTAATGCTAACAGTAATAATAATGGTCATAAATTCATTTCACATTCGTTTGATGAATTAAATTTACCCCATAATAATACTAATGATGATGATGATGGTGGTGCTGGTGGTGGTATTCAACAAAGACTTAGCTCGTCAACAAGAACATGGACTACAGAATCATTGGAAAAATCGAATTCCGATGAAAATCAATTAAATCTTAGGTGAGTTGTTGTTGTGTTAAGGAAGGATTTGATGATGACTAATTTTGGTCTTGTGTGTTGTTGTATGAGGATGGGTGTCAGTTCCTGGCTGCCCGTACCTGGAAAGGAATTTCGATTAGTGTTGATCTTGATGATTTAGGAGAGTGACCGCAGAGCCTGATAGACAACTGCTTGAGGCCGGTTACGCACAGCTTTTGTGTAGGGTGTTTTTGAAGCGTTAGCTCCGCTCTTTTTAAATGGTCTTACAGCCGGAGACGGAAATCTGTGAGGTTAAGTGAGGTGTGACATTTTTAGGGTCGACCTTTTACTAACCCCTTCCTTCTGTTGTGAGGAGTCAGCATCACTGCAGATGCTGTCGCAAACCCTATACATTCAGCAGTACGACTTTGCCCTCAGACCTTGAGTTAGTAGGAAGGATTTGATTTCGACCAATTTGGTGTCGTGTGCTATTACGGGTATGAGGGCGGTTGTCACTTCCCGGCTGCCCAAACAGTGGAAGGTTGTTTCTTGAGGGACCTGAAAAGGAAGATAGATTAGTGTTGGTCTTGGAGACCTAGGAGCGTGACCACAGAGTCCAAGCGATAACTGCTTGAGGCCAGTCACGTACGGCCTTTTTATCAAAGGTTTTTTGAGGATTAGCTCTGCTCTTAAAAGCCCTTAGTGGGCAACCTTACCGCCGGAGGCGGAAACCCGTGAGGTGTGACATTTTTAGGGTCGACCTTTTCTAACCCTTCCTTGTGAGAAGGCAGCATCGCTGCAGATGCTGGTTGTCCGAGGGAAACACCTTACTGCTACTGTCGCACCCCTCTCTACAGTCAGCAGTACGACTTCGCCCTTAGACCCTTGAATAGCTGTTTTTAGTCTCATCGTTCTCCAATCGACCTGCCTGGCATGGTAGGACCTGCAGGAACATATGTTTCGGCCAATATAGCTCGGTTGGCTCATCACGATAGATAATAAGCCTGACCACTACGTCACGTTAGCAGCTACGCTTATGAAAATGATAATCACTTATTATTTTCTTCTTAAACTTAAATTAACTGTGATAGAATGTGGATATGCCAACAAAATCCGCTTTTCTCATATTTGTATCTATATCACATGCGGTTTTACACACTTCCTCTTTCCTTTCCTTTCCTTTTTATACCACATTAGTTTATTCAACGATTGTTCTCAACGTGCTGCAGCAGCGGCTGCCGCCGCCGCGGCAGCAGCAGCAGCCGCAGCTCATGTTCATTTTCTGTCCAGTTTAGCTGTAGCTGCCACCGCCCACTCCTCAGCATCATCATCTCCAGCTCCAGTGCCAATCCCAACTTCAACTTCTTCATTGCCTAATCATCATAATCTATCACCACTCCTGTCATCTCGTCTCGATGGCATTGATTCCAATTTGCCACATTCCATTACATCGCATCTTGACAATATGATCCAATCCTCATCAGCGTGTTCAATGCCGACAGTGCATGATGATGCATTTGTTGCGTTAACTACTAGTTCACATCAATTAAAATCCAATCTGAATGATCATGTCACGCTGCAACAACAAATGCCGTTGCTTACTCCTCCGTATAAACAATGTAAATTATTCAGTTCCACTCATTATCCTGTTTGCTCATTATCATCGTCTGATGTTACGTAAGTTTATATATCTGTATGTGTGAAGTTTGAATTGTGTGGTAGATTTTCATAACTTTTTTCTTACTAAATCAAACCAGACAATCTACGCAGGAGGTGACACTAATCCAAAAGGTGACGGAGAAAATGTTATGCGATTCAGTACTATGGTAGATAGTCACTAATAAAAGGTTTTGTTATAAACGCTGCTCCAAAGCTATTCGAAATCCTACCGATTGACTAAAATTCAGATATTCCAATACGACCCCAATTATTGTTCCTAACTCTCCAATATATACCAGAACACAACACCGGACTAAGGATCTGAGTCATAAAACGTTACAGACAATGCATATTTATACAGTTGGGTCGAATAGGAAACAACATTGATGTGTCTGTGACACTGATAGTTAGGACGACCATAATATTAACCAATAGAATTGAACTTCCAAAAATAGTTATCTTTTAGGATATATGATGACTATCCTGAATGATTCATAGGCTATTTATATCTTCAGGATCCTAGAGTTCATATTCCGAACCCCCTCTAACCATTGGTGACTTTCGTCTCGCGGACCCCAACCAGGTAGTCTACATCTACCAACATGACTCAGTCCACTTGTCAGTGACTTCATGGATTTGTCCCGTGTTTTGGTTTGGCCGCCCCTAAGTTTCTTCCAACCTACTCGTACACCACAAAACATAGCTCGTCGAGGCAGTCGGTGGTTGTGCTTACGCAACACATGTCCCAACCACCTCAAATGATGAAGTTTCAGTACTTTATCTATTGATCTGCCATTCTTACCTAGCACCCGATTCCTAATAACAGCGTTGCTGATTCGGGTGTCCCACGATATACGAGCAATGCTTCGAAGACACCTATGTTCGAAAACCAGTAACCTACGAATATCTTCTACTCTCACTGGCCATGTTTCACAGCCATATGGAAGAACGTAGCGAACTGCTGCGCAGTACACCCGTCCTTTGATTAGCGAACGGATATCACGCCTACGCCTAAGTGACGCAGGTTGGAGAAAGCCAATCGAGCTTTCTGTATCCGAGCTGAGATTTTGTCACTCACCAGGCTATCAGCGCTCATGAGACTCCACAGATAAGTGAAGTGATCGACACGCTCGACTACTTCACTCCCCATCACTAGTTCAGGTGCCGATGTAACCCAGTCTTGAAGTAACATCTTGCATTTCGAGGGGTAAAACCGGATCCCGAACGTGCTCGCATTGTTGCTTATGGTAGTCAGAAGACTCTGCATTTTTTCAGCGTCTTCACCGACCTAAGTCTTGCGTGCGAATACCTAACCTCTGGATCACTGCGCTGGCACCCGACAACGTTGGTATCCCACTCTGATCAATCTAGAGAGTTTTCGCGCCCTCACTGATACCAGGACGAAACGGCCATCTAAAAAGTGCTTCCAGGTTTCTAATGGTGGTCTAACAATGATTCATTCATGATTTCAGCAATAAAGTGGAATTATTTTTGTCATTTCACAAGAATAAAAATCTCCTCTATTTAGGGGATTCCGAAAACCCTTATCCCAAGCAGATAGTGCATATGAACTCTGAGATCCTGAAAAAACATGACCTACCTTGATGTAGTGGTCGGGCTTGTCTATCGTGATGACCCAACTGAGCTATTATAGACTGGAACAAATGTTTGTGCAGCTTTTACCGTGCCAGGCAGGTCGATCGGAGAACGATGAGATGAAAAGCAGCTACAGAATTTTAATTGCTACTTAACCATCTGGATTGTTTTGGTAGAATGCTACTCACAATGTGATGTATAAGTAGTATACAGCGGAGCGTCTGCTAGAAATGTATGTATAAGCACGATCATAGTATACTTGAGACTAGAAAAAATGTGAGGGAAGACTGTCAAAAATATGCTTGTATTGCAAATTGATATCTGAAGATTATGTTTACATTTTTTTTCTTGGCGAACCAACTGTGTTTGTTTAGCGAGTTGGTTTCCTACGCGATGTGGTCAATAACCCCTACATGCGGAACCCTTCTCTTTTATCCGGGCTTTGGACTAGCAGTAAGCGAGAAGGGCTCCAGGCGTTCTTTCCAAACATATATATTTCACACACTGAAATCATCAAGCATCATTGTGAGACCACCAAAATCCCTCAAAATCCGTAGATTGGTCGGAGGTAGACAAAAACATTGCTCGTTGAGGCAGTCGGTGGTTAGGCATACACAGCACATGTCCCAACCATCTCAACTGATGAAGTTTCATTACTTCATCTATTGATCTGCCATTCTTATCTAGCACCCGATTCCTAATAACTATGTGTATATATATATATAAATTTCATCTGATCTTGATTCTACTTCCAACAATACAGCGATCGTTCACTTCACATTCTATGTTTCCTTACTGTCCCCTTCTTTTCTTTACATTTAGATCTCACAAGCCCAATGATGACTCGTTCATGTTAAAATATACAAACAGTAATAGTAATTATCATACTAATAAATTGTTCCTTACCAATAGAATACCCTCGACTAGTTCATTATCAATTTCCCCGGAATTATTCCTTGACAATAACATTGATAATGATAATAATCATAATAATCGGATGTATACTCATCCACTTGGATTAAATTCTATCGATTTGTCTACTTTGACGTCTAGTACAAATGGTGGTAATATCACTTCTACTGCTGTTCATACTACTACTACTACTAACACCATGAATACTACTCATAATAATATTAATACAAGTAGTTTCGACAATGATGATGATGATGATGCTGATCGCGATCACAATCCGGATGCTAATAATCATAAAAAGAATTCGAAACTGACTGCCAATCACCTTCATCATCCCCCACCTCAACATCAACACCAACACCACCAACAACAATCGATCAATACCATATCAACTACCACCAATTCAACAAAACGTGTACACATTAAAAAACCATTGAATGCATTTATGCTATTTATGAAAGATATGCGACCAATTGTACAAGAAGAATGTACATTGAAAGAATCAGCTGCAATTAATCAAATTCTTGGTAAAAAATGGCATGAATTATCACGTGAAAAACAAGCAAAATATTATGAATTAGCTAGAAAAGAAAAAGAACTACACCATCAAGTAAGAAGATATATACACGTATAGATATACAAATATATACTACTTTTTACCCCCATATAAGTAGTAGTATATTCATGTCATGATTTTTATCAGTCGATGAAAAAGAATGATTGCTAGTCGTATTTTTTTTTTTACATCCACGTGAAAAAACTAGGATTGTTTCATTTCCATCTCTGTGTCTCTCTGCCCATCAACTTTTATCTACAAGTTTTATCAATGAGAACTAATTATCGTCATTCTTCTTGTTATTATTATTGCTGGCATTTACGATAAGTTGATGCGTATAGAAAGATGAACAGTCCTATATGATTACTAGTAGTAGTAGTAGTAGTAGTAGTAGTAGTAGTAATAGTAGTAGTAGTAATGGAGTTGTGGAGATTTTTTTCGTTTTGTTGAAATGACCAATTGGCCGAAATTAGACCATTATTGAAAACGAGAAAATGATAGATGTGGCTGTTTCCATTCAAAACTGACTTGATTAATGTCCCAAAATTTTGGATTGTATGCTTTCAAACATGGGCTAATCGGTGGACCTTGAGATTACATTTCCCAGTCAGGAAAATCCTTGGCTGTCAATGGTAGGCTATTTTGTGGCTCTCCCAAGGATGTTTCTGTCATGTATAAATAAACTCGATTTGTGTGCTTGTGAACCGCATATTTTCTGAGTGCTTGTAGAATACACTTTATAAGTCTTGTTAAGACTTCTTCCTCTACTTAGTGGGTCCTTGGGACGTTCGGATTAGAGTAGCCTATCGTGTCAATGGATCATTTGTCTTCGCTCTCGTTTACCGACTAAGGTGAACTCGTAATAGCATTCAAGCATATCAATTGACGAGCATAACAGTTTCATTCTAAAACAGGACTTATCTGTACTGGGCATCCACAACCTTTCCCTCGGGTCTCGAACCTAGAACTTTCGGTTCTACTCTTGTGACAAGCTTCATGAGGATTTCTTTTAGTTTTAGTGAGAAGTCGTGATCAGTCGTGGTGACTTGATTGTTTGGAGGCTAAGTATTTGCTTGTGAGAGCAATGGTCCTCGGTTCGATTTCCGTTTATGGGTTCGTGGATGATCACTGCAATGATTGATGAATAGTCTCATACTAGGATGGGATAGCAATTCACTGCCTCTTGGTATATGGATGTGAGGGCGCGGGTTGGCAAAGCAAGGGCTGCATTTCTACACTTGAAAAATATCTGGAACTCCAAACAACTTTCAACCAAAACCAAAATCAGTATTTTCAATACAAATGTCAAGACAGTTCTACTGTATGGAGCGGAAACATGGAGAACTACCAAAGCCATCATTCAGAAGATACAAGTGTTTATTAACAGTTGTCTACGCAAAATACTTCGGATTCGTTGGCCAGACACCATCAGCAACAACGAACTGTGGGAGAGAACAAGTCAGATTCCAGTTGAGGAGGAAATCAGGAAGAAGCGGTGGAAGTGGATAGGACACACACTACGAAAAGCACCTAACTGCGTCACTAGACAAGCCCTCACATGGAACCCTCGAGGCAAAAACAAAAGAGGAAGGCCAAGGAATACCATACACCGAGAAATAAAGATATGAGAGGAATGAACAAACGTTGGACAGAACTGAAAAGGGAAGGCCAGGACAGACTTGGTTGTAGGAAACTGGTGGGCGACCTATGCTCCATTAGGGGTAACAGGCGTAAGTAAGTAAGTAAGTAAGCCTCTTGGTATAGCAACTTGCACACTAATATGCTTACATACATACAAAGTTGTACATTGTGACTGACTGGTTTTCTCCTTTGTGCTAGTGTGTGTTGTATTAATATCTGGTGTTTTGATGCACTACAATGAACTTGCTTCTTTTTTGCCTCATTCTCACTTCCAGCTATTCCCCGGTTGGTCAGCTAGAGATAATTATGCTATTCATTCAAGACGTAAAAAGAAACGAAAATTAGCCGCTGCTGCCGCGGCCGCCGCAGCCGGTGCCACATCAATTGTCCAATCGAAAATTCATTCCACTCATCATCATAGTGGTAAATTATTTGGCAATCACACCACTACTACTACTACACAATTATCATCGGAATCCGGTGGTGAATTTGGCAATTCCGACTCAAATGAAGAACGTAACAACAATAATAGTAATAGTAGGCTATCTTTATTTATTCATAATATAAATTCTACAGATATGAGTAACGCCAAGAAATGTCGTGCACGTTTTGGACTAGAACATCAAAATCGTTGGTGTAAACCATGCAGGTAAGTGAGTGAGTGAGTGTATAATGATTACTAACTAACTGTTTGATTTTAATGAGTTTCATAATTGTTTTACTGTTCTGGTAGTGTTTTTTTATGGAGGTTTAAGGTGGGTACGGAGGGGTTCACATGCGGGGAGAATCTTGATTCCAATCAGTCAACAGCAATATAGAACTTCGTATGTACATACGTACTTACGTACATCAGTGTACAAGTTGACATACTACATTAGCACACAGAGATGTCACTTCAAATCTCATAGTAGTAGAGGTAGTAGAATTATTAGCAGTAATCGGAAATTTTAGGGTTCGACAATATTATTCAAGAAGCAGAATCTTGTGAAATAAACTGTTACTCCTGCACGTAACATGTCATTTTGATATACTTGAAATATTACGAGTTTACCTAGTCGAGGATCCGGTGACACGACATGTTACTCAAATCCGATTATTACAACCCCCATATTTAGTTAAAATAAGAAGACATTATATGAAGTAGAACGTGTATTCTACAAGCATCCAGAAAGTACGAGGTCCGAATCCAGAAGAGAATCAGGATCCCGGACTAGGGATCCAGGACCGAGCCCTGATGCTGGTCGTGGTCAATAAACGTTACAGATAATGCGTATTTATACATTTTGGTCGAATAGGAAACAGCATCGAATTCTGTGACATTGACAGCTAAGACGACCAATAGAAAGTAACATTGATAGTCAGGACAACCAATCAGAAACAACATTGAAGTATTTGACTTTGACAGTTAATAAAGCGACCATAATTTTGACCAATAGAAATAGACCAATAGGATTTGACCCATAATAATTCTCTTAGGATATTGGATGAATATCCTAACATAAACCTAAGAGAAAAAGATAAAGTGATGCGGATTTAAGAATGTCAGGATTTGAGAGAACACAAAGAATAAATGCACCGGCGCCATTGCAAATGATTATGAGCCATGTCATTCAAGGTCTCTAACCATCGATTATTATCATCTCGCGGACCCCAACCAGGTAGTCTACAACCTACCTACACGACTCAGTCCACTTGTCAGTGATTTCATGGATTTGTGCCATGTTTTGATCTGGTCGCCCCCTAGTTTTCTTCCAACCTATTCCTACATCGTACGAGGCAGTCGGTGGTTAAGGCATACGTAACACATGTTCCAACCCTCTGAACTGATGAAGTTTCAACACTTCATCTAATTGACCTGCCATCCTTACCACCTAGGACCCTGATTCCAAACCAACAGATCCACACTGGTTCCTTAAGATCATGACAATGTATGAGCCGATTAATGATCATCTCCTAATCCTTGCTCCGCTTCTGTCTTTTACGGATTCTACCTTTTGAGCCAAATAACTCGTAGAGTAGTTGTGGCCCCCCCCCCCGCGGTAAAGTGTCACCTTTTTTATTTACATTCCACTTAGAACTGCAATAAATTTGTATGGTTTATTATTATTAAAAATTTATTTAGGTCATCTTCTGTTCATATTGATTTTTAACAACTGATGATAAGGTTTGTCATACAATTTTTCACTAAGTAGTAGTAATCTCAAAGTGGTTTGTCGTTCGTTTATTTTCTACGCACTCCGACAACCTATTCCGTTGATTTTGTTCATATTTATATCTTACTAATTTTGCTAAACGTTTGGATTTTAAAAATTATATTTTTATATGTTTTGATAATATCTGAGATTTACTTACTAACTTACGTCCGTTACTCCTAAATGGAGCATAGGCCGCCCACCAACAGTATTCTCTAACCTACTCTGTGCTGTCAAATTTGTGTTCATTCTCCTCAATGTCTGTCTCTATTTCTTGGCGTAGTATGTTGCTTGACCTTTCTCTTTTCCTTTGACCTTGAGGACTTCAAGTGAGGGCTTGTTTTATGATGCAGTTGGGTGTTTTCCGTACTGCGTGTCCTATACACTTACAGTGGTTATTCCTGACTTCTTACGCAGCTGGAATTTGATTTGTTCTCTCCATTCAGTAGGTTGTTGCTGATGGTGTCCGGTCAATGGATTTGAAGTATTTTGTGTAGACAATTGTTAAGCAATACTTATATTTTCTGGATGATGGCTTTGGTGGTTTTCAAGTTTCCGCCGCATACAGTAGAACTTTCTTAACATGTGTTTTGAAAACTCAGGCTTTGGTGTTTTTTGATAGTAGTTTTAAGTTCCTGATACGTAAGGTGAAATCGATATAAAATTGGCGAGACTTGAAATAGCAAATGTTGAATTTTTTTCGCGAAATTTATCCATCTATGTGGTTTATGAACATTTTGAAGTTACTGCTGATATCAGTTCGTAATGACAGCTCATAATTCTAATTCCTGACGCCTACATCTACCTCACACACTAATTTATAGACCCTCATTTAACCCTAGTAAGTAGGTGACTTGTTCTCAAGGTCATCTTGTCATGGCTCAAAGGTCGTCCACAAATTATGGTTTCACGGAAATTCATAAATCAATTGTATCGGCCCTGTCAGAAAAGATACGGCCAAATATTGGACCAAGAATCATGTCAAATGAGGAATCCCATCAAAACAAACTGGAATATAACAACAGACTGAAGGTCAACAACAATAACCAATCAAGATCAAGGTCAAGCTGACAAGCCACGAGACATGCTTGTAGAAATTTGAATACTTCACTTCTCTACCTCAAGTTTATCCTGATAATGATGTACTTTACATACGTACATCAGTGTTCAAGTTGTCATATCATATTAGCACTAAAGAAATGGAATCTTCAATGCAAATCCCATAGAGGTAGAGACAGTAGGAGTGTCGGCGGTAATGGAGGAGATTAGGCTTCGGATATATGATAATTTAGTGAAATAAACTTAAAAAGAGAAAGATAAAGGTGATGAGGAATTCAGAAGATTAGAATTTGCGAGAAAACAAAGAGTGTGTATGCACCTGTGCCGTTGCAGTCGATTTTGAGCCATATCATTCAAGCTATTTAGCTAACCTCTGAACCACTGAGCCGTAATCTGACGATGTTGATGTCTAACTTCGATCAATTCACGGAGTTGCGCAACCTCATACGCAGTTTTCGGTAGTTACTGTCTACTACACCCGAACATGTTGAACTTCACTGGTCACGTCTTCCCACTAGAGAAGATTCCTCACGAAGCTAGTCACTAGTAAGCACAGGTAATTTGCACTACAGGGTTGTGAAGATTGTTAAGTTACACATTTTTGATACCGGCTCAGTGGTCCAATGGTTAGGCTTTCACACACAATACCAAAGGTCCTGGGTTCGAATCCTGTGAGGTGCAGGAGTCGTGGATGCACAGTGCCACTGATGAGTCCCATACCAGGACGAAATGGCCGTCCAATGCTTCCAGGTTCCTAATGGTGGTCTAACTCTGATTAATCGATTCATGTGATTTCAAAAATGTGTAACTTAACAATCTTCACAAACCCGCATAATGCAAATCAGGATATTATCAGCAGCAGCAGCCGCCAAGAAAAGAGTACACAAACATAAGTAATTCGTTTTGTTCTCGATTCTTCTTCTTTTCACTCTTTGCGTCGCGCTACTTGATCTTATTATTATTATTATTATTATTAATTATCATCAAATATTTTGTGAGATGGTTTTTTTGGTATCACTGATACATTGATACTACGCGCACAAACACACCATATATTATTATGCTATGTTCACCGTACATATATATATATATATATATATATATTCATTCAGCGGAATGTGGTTTCTTGAAGAGAAAAAAAGAGAAAAGAGGTGAGAACAGATGTTCAAGGGAAATAATTATTTTCATCACTTTCATCTAATTAAAAATTCTAAGAAAAATTCAGTGATCGGATTTAATTCAATGCAACCTATATATATGTATATATATATATATATATATATATATATGTATATATATATATATATATGGGCATATGAACAGTTGTGATTGTTTGTGTAACTATGTAGAGAGGATTGTGAAGATTGTTAAGTGTTTACATTGAAAGCACAATGATACCACAGGAATCATGGAAGTACTGATGGGCGGCTGTTTCGTCACTCCATATAAAACTAAATCTGTCATTGTTTGCTTCGCCAGAGTGACATTCCACTGCATGCTACTTATAAATAAGCTTTAGTGTGGACAGTACACGTCAAGAATGAACATTCGTGACTTTGCAAGCGCGAAATAATTGACTTAACAAGCACGAAACAGTTCGCTCATTTTAGATGTCTTGACGAGTAATATTTTGTGGTGTAGGAGTAGGTTGGAAGAAAGCTAGAGGCGGCCAGACCAAAGCATGGCACAAATCCATGAAGTCACTGACAAGTGAACTGAGTCATTTTGGTAGATGTAGACTACATGATCGGGGTCCGCGAGGGGATCGTTTGCAATGGCGCAGGTGTATCCACTCTTTGTGCTCTTTCAAATCCTAATCTTCTGGATTCGTCAGCATCTCTACCTTTGTCTTTCTAACCTTATCTCACTGAATTATACTTCTTGAATAATATCTTCAAACCCTAGTCTTCATCATTACCATTAATACCTCTACTATCTCTACCACTATGGGATTTGAAATGACGATTGCATCTTTGTGCTAATGTGGTATGGCAATATGAACTTATGTACATACGTACGAAGTTCTACATTGCAACTGACTGACTGATTGACTTCTCATTCTAGATATTTTATCTTTCAGCCTCGATTTCATTAGTAATCGCATGAAAGGTAGTTGTTTTGTGGCTGTCTATCTTACACACATTTTGGGTGCTGACTCAGTGGTTTTAGAGGTTAAAGCGTTGGCTCGCATGACCGTAGGTTCTCAGTTCGATTCCTTTACACGCAGGTCATAGATCCACACTGCTGATAATGATCATTTAATCCCAGACTAGAGTAACATAGCCATCCACTACTTTCAGGTTTTCAATTGATGTGGTCTAACATTGACCAATTTATTCATTCAATTTTCAATTGTTCATGTCGAGATGACACGCTGGTAATTTAAACAAAAATCAGT